TCTGATGGTCATCTGGTCCAATGCTTGCTGGGCCTCCCAGAAATAGCCAACATGTCTGGTTGGCTTTTGAATATCTCCAAGGAAGGAGATTGCAGAAGCTCCCTGGGCTATCTGTGCCAATGCTCAGTCACCCTGTCACCCTTTCTGCAACAGTGTCTCCTGATGTTGAAGCCTCCTGTGTTTCAGTTGGTGCCCATTGTCTATGAATACCTCTGGATCCTCTTCTTTGCATGCTCCCTTTAGGGTTTGTACATATTGAAGAGATCCTCTCTGAGCCTTCTCTTCTCTTCTCTAGGCTAAACAGCTCTCCCAGCTCTCCCAGCTCTCTCAGCCTCTCCTCACTGGAGAGACCTTAAAAACAAGTACTTTCTAAGATTAGTGATTTTGACATATTTTTCCCTGCAGAATTTTTCTCCATTGTGTACTTTGAAAAAGTTTAATCACTAATGGTATAATCTTTTCTTTTAGGATTATTTTTTGTAATATAAAAAACCAAATAACATCTTCTGAAGTCCATGAATTGGAAGCTGAATTCCATGAGTTAAGGCTCACACACATTAACAACAGAGGTGATAGTTACTATAAGTGCAAGGTTTATATTTACAGTGCCTTAACACTTCTCTTTAAAAAAATTATTTTGAATAAATTCAATATGATAAAAAAAAAAAAACCCACCAACAAACTTGATATGTATCTCTCATTTTAAATTTTATTCTAGTTGTTTTAATATTAATTCTTTTCCCTCACTCAAAAGCATGCAAAAAGTATCGTTCTTGTGCTATTGAGCTTTTTTTTTGGTGGTTTTTTTTTCTTTTTTTGGAGATCCTTGCTGTTTTGTCCTTCTGCCCATGAGGAGGGAGCCATTCCAACTCAATTCTACTTTCATTTCTAGTAAGGACTTCTTGATCTTGTCCCCACTCAACAGTGAAGCTATACACTTATGCTCAAATGGTATTCATGTTCTAATCTCCATGTGTTTGCAAGCTCCCTTTGGCATCTTGATGACACTTCTCTCTCCTAAGCTGGGCTTTGTTCGTGAACTAGAGATGTGCAAAATCAATATAAAGTTCTTTCAGCTCTGACTTGTGCTCTCTGCATGTGTTGCAGTAGCCTCATAGGTACAAACACTACACTGATTCTGAGGGCCTTGAGAATGTGCACCTGTGCTCTGACTATGTTTGACATTAAATAGCAATTGTTTAAACATTTTTTCAAAATTTTAATACTTTTTAAAAATGTTTATGTCATGTCCTATCCTTCGCTTCCACCTTCTCACTAGAGGACTAATAAAACAGGCTTGTGTTGGATTCATCTGCATTAGCACTTGAGCCAAAATCAGGAGCAGCTTTGGGGAAAATACTATGATTACTAAAATACCTTATTTTTTGATATTTGCATGGGCAGTCAGCCTGCTCATGTGCTCAGTCTTTGAATTGTGGCACTAGGCCTTATTTTCTTTCATAGATCTAGAACACAAGGCCAAGATGGGGTGGAGGGAGGAATAATTTAGAAACCATAATTCCATTCTGTTTAGTTCAACTGGAAAAACAATTATTTAGTATCTGTTATGTGACATGTACACAGGATATGGCAGTCTAGTCAAAGCAGGGGAGCACCTAAGTCTTGCTTAGAAATTCATCCATTGCTGTGAGACTTATCCTGCTGATTCGATATTCAAAGACCTGGTGAAACTCCAGAGAAATTTTGTCCTTGAGCAGATTGAACTTGCATAATATAAGAAAGATTTTAGAATTATCTAAATTGAAAAGTGTGGGTTTACACCTTTACTGTTTTAAAGCCTTATACACTAAGTAACATTATTGAACAGACTGTAAAACTTCACAGAAACTTTCCTCTCAAGTAACACAGTACTCTGGCAAACTGCAATCAATTACAATTTTGCTTAGAGAGGCTTTCAAATATTTGTTTTTATAGCATTTTTTTGTGCTGTGCTCACAGGATACATAAGCCAAGATGTAATTAATTTAATTTTGCAGGCAACTGAGCTATGTGCATCCTTAACGTGTGCTAGATATATTCAAGACACTGTTGCAAGCAGAACATAACAGAATATTCAAAACTTACTCTCCCTCTTTTGGTTCCAACTGCTTCCAATATCTTAATTGTTAGTAAAATTACTTGGATCTTTTTAACATTCTAGAATTTTTTTTAGATTAATGAATGATCAGTTTCTTTTAAAATTAGATCAGAGAGAGGTCTGTTTATACAATAGTTTAGTCCAGAATAAAAAGTGTGACCAGTTTCCTTTGAGAAATTATTTCCTACAGAATTATTCATATGGCTGAGTACTTGTAGGCATGTCATGGTAGAGGAGAGAGGTGAATAGGAGAGATAGATGAGAGTCTGTGCTACCATATCTGGACTTTGAAGATCAATTTTGAAAAAAGTGGTTATTTTGGTTATCTTGCTCTGATTTAATTCTCAATTTGATTTTTAGGTTGCTGTTTCAGTTGGCATGAGTACAGCAATTGCGCATAAATATGGACACTAATTAATGCTATGGCACATTGGATCCTTTCACAGTTGGTCATGTATCACTATTATTCATCCAATAATTTTTTTTGGCAATGAAGGTTCATTGTTTTTTTGAAATATTTTCCAGTGGGACAACTTGCAATCCATCACTTAAAATATCTAAGAGCTTTTACAAGAAAAGTAAAAAAAAAAATTAAAAAATGCTTTTCAGGATTTTGGTTTTGGTTGTCCTTTTGGTTTTGTTTGTTTGTATGTTTGTTTAACAGAAGTATCCAACATGAAATGCCTTTATTTTTACAGTTATTTCTAGAGAAAGTGTAGTACAGGATCTGAATTCATTAGGAGCTTCAGGAAACTCTACAGAGTCACTAAATTCTACCAAAAGTAATTGCAAACCAAAGATCTCTTGACAGAGTTTAAAATTGTGACCTTTTACTCAGAGTGCAGAGGCACAAAGCAGGAAGATGAGGTGGGTGCAGAGAGACTTGAGACAAAGGTGGATATTTGGAGAACATTAAGAAGGAAGAAAGGTTTAAAGGTGTCTGCAGAAGAGAAAGGGTGACAAAACCAGGGTAGTAGAGAGGGAAAGCAGAGTGTAGCCGTGCCAAGATGTAATTGTCATTGACTATGATTGAGGTGTCAGATGGTGAAAGGTTAATGGGCATGGATTCTGGTGAGGGCTGCAAAGGCCCCTTATTGGTACATTTTGCTTTCCTGCAGTCGTGTGATACAATTGTTTGATATCACTTCTGAAAGGGAGCTACTCACAGAGGGACAGAACAGGTGAGTCATGGGGAACAGCAGAGTGGGATGATCTTTATATGAGCAAGGAAAAATAATGAAGAAAGATAATATGTCATCAATTTATCTTTCTGAGTTCAAGCTTTCAGCTATGTTTTATGTATACTTCTCTGCCACTTAATATGTATTATGCTAAACATAGACAGCTGTTAGCTTGTGTAACCATAGACAAGCTTTAGTTTATAACTGTAGGTGCAACAATAAAGATGTTTTGATGCAGCACAGAAACAGAAAACAGTAAAGGCATTTTCACATCTCTGACATAATTAGATTGCGGACATAGAATTGTTAGTTTATGAACTATAAATATTTGTTAGACCAGCAGTGCAAGAGAGAATGAGTCTGCTTGTCACTTAAAAGGAAATATTTTTTGTTGTCTTACAAAACCCAACAATGTAAACTGTACATAAGCATAGGTTGGTGAGTTACTTTCAATAAGTAGCTGTGAACAGATTTTGAAATTATGAATTATTGTTATGTTGGATTGTAGCTGACAGAATATACACATAGTCGTTCTTACACAAGTGATACCTGTGAAAAATAAAATGTGGGAATTGTAATTAGTAGTGAAATTATGGCATATTTGCCACAGAGGAAAGAACCAGCCAACATTCACAGAGTCAGTGGAAACATGCCTTATGTTCTAATTGAATCTCTTGTATCTTCAAAGTATTTGTGAAATACTTCTCTCACCACTCCTAAAATACTAAAAATAGTAAAGGAAGATACGATTTCAGATTGATTATGACAATCTACAACTGTAATTCCTGTTTGAATATATAAGCAAATATTAAAGCGTTATGTTCTCACACATTGGATGAAAAATACGTGACTACAAGTGATGCATATTTATTCTTACTAAGAGTGAATTTAAATGCTACTTGCACTTGTTGGTGCTGTTGTCTTGACTGAAAGTTAACAAGAGGCAAGCAAAAGGCAAATTCCTTCATATTTAAGTGAAAAAGTGGCCATAATTTCCAATTAGGGTCACAGATTTGTCAAGATTAACACCTTGCTAAAAGAATATTATGAAAATCTGTCTTTTCTGGGAGTTGAATTTCCCCATGTCCTGCCCCATTTTCTTTAGAAAAACTCATTTTCTAACTAATTTTGTTTCATCTGGGCAATGAAGATTTCATATTAAATGTGTTACAGCTGCTTGATGGAAACATTCCAGTTGAGATGAGAATGGTCTGAGCCTTCCAGCCAAAGGGGTTGAGAATTGAATTCTGTAGGAGCAAACTTTTTCATCATGTAGGGTTAGGTGCTGCTTTTTGGAGATGTTTCTAGGATTTATACATAGAATTTTGTATAACATTTAGAGACTGTCATATATAAAACCACTTTTCCTCCTTACGAAAAGGACAAAAAAAAACTGTTTTCAAAAAAAAAAAAAAATAGAGATATGAGTTTGATCAGTCCAGTTTTGTTACCCTTCAGCATCTGTGTTTAGAATTGTTTCATTGGAAGGAAACTGAAAGATTATTTAGTTTGAATCCCCCCCTGCCAAGGGCAAGGACACCTTCCTTTGACCATGTTGCTCAAAGCCCCATCCAACCCAGCCTTGAACATTTCCATGGATTGGGCAATCCACAGTTTCTCATGGGAAACCTGTTTGAGTGTCTTGTCATCCTCATAGAGAATTTCTCCTTCATTTCTCCTTATCCTCTTTTGGCTCTTCCTTTTGATCTTGGTTTTTACAGTCAGTCCCCAGGTTCCATTTTCACTGGAAATTTTCAGGAAGTGGGGATCACAGAAGACAGTCGAGAGGTAGACAAGCATGGTTGTGAAAGGTAACAGTTGTGATTTCTGTTATTGCTATGGTGGTGACATCCAGTGGCTCAGATTGGTCAGAAATTGTGGAAATTCTGCAGCTACAGGAATTATAAGGGGAGATTGCTGTCTGAAAGATGTATCTCTCCAGTGAAGACTGCTATTGTTGCTGGCTGACAGCTAAACCTTACTGCACAGCAGAATAAAGAGGTTGTGTGAAGGAATGCCAAGCCTCAGGTAAACTTTTCTGTTGTGTTTGTTTCTAGATGAGGAATCTGACAGTGGATGGACATTTTGGAACGTGGTCACAGTGGAAACCTTGCACCCACACTGACGGGGCCAGTGTTGGCTCCTGCCTCTGCAGGACACGTGTGTGTGACAGTCCTGCTCCTCAGTGTGGAGGATGGCTGTGTGAAGGACCAACCATGGAGATTGCCAACTGTTCCAGGTATGCAAGACAATTTCAGGTTCTATCATTTGTGGTTTAAAATTTTTTAACTTAATCAGAATAAAGCTTACCCTTTGAAATCTTCACTGAAATCTACTGATCCTGTGCATGAAAGGGCAAATGGGACATTAGAAAATTTCTCTCAGACTTTGTAGGAGAGAGAATGAGTCAGAGAGCACAGAATCATTTCAAACGCCATCTACCAAATAATGTTGTCCTCAGGTAATTTTAACAAAAGCTCTGAAAGAAAAAAGAAATCAGTGTTACATAATATCCAAAGTATGGATATTCTCAGTTCTGTAATTCATACAACTGTCTTTTCTGGAAGTTAGAATGCCTTACTTTTTTGGAGGTCTCGTATTACCATTGTAGTCCCCCATTCTACCCTGGGAAATTAAAAATGTTTTCATTGTATCTTTTAGTTGTATCACGATAGCAAGTTCTATTATCAGTCTGTGTAGAACTCTTTGGCCACTCTTTTGTCTTCTTCAGGAACTTGACCACTCCCAGAGCCAATCAGTGAGAGGAGATCATTTCAAAGAGACTCAGAACATTACATATTTGGAACTGCATCAGAAGTTCACATTTAAAACATTTTACACATATATTGTACATACTTTAATTGCAACATGAAACATATACTGGTGCATTCTGCTTATTTTCAGTGATTCTTTCTGTTTTTTCTTTCTTTTTTTTCAACATCACAATCACTTCATGATAGTGAATAAAACTGATTACCTTTCTGCACAAGGTAACTGCAAGCTGTGTAAGTGAAAATAGTCTATTTTAGGAGAATTACTAAAAATCTAACAATATATAGCATCAGGAGAATGATAGAAAAGATAAACATACTGTGAGATACTGAACAATCAAACAACAGCTGTCAGGTTTAGAAGATAATTTGGAATGGGGTTTGGGACTGGATTTGCATTCTACCTTTGGCATTATTACACTACTGTTTTAACATCTTGCTTCTGTTAACACTGCTATATTAGTAAGGCAATGTTTTAAATTTTGCTTTTATGATGAAACATCAAAAGATCAATTTAGTTTAGTTTTATTTTTCTTTATTTCTGTTTGTGTTCCAACAGCACAAAAACTGCAAGCTAGCCATAGCCATTTAAAGCTTTGGATACAGCTGAAGTGCTTTCTTTTTCTTTTTTTTTTTTTTTTTTTTTTTTTTTTTTTTTTTTTTTTTTTTTTTTTTGATAGGGTTTTTGTTTTTTTTTTTGGTGT